TATAGATATATTTTTTTAATTATATAATATATAATTGAAAAATAATTTTTTTTATTTTAATTTAATGTATATTTGAGAAATTAATCAATTATAATTTATTATTTGAAAAACTAATCAATTATTTAAAAAACTAATCGATTATAATTTATTATTTGAAAAAAATTTCGAATATAATCGATCATTTTAAAATTTAATCGATCATAATAAGTTGGACATTGATATATAATAGCGGTTCCACGTTAACCGCTATCTTAACAGGTTTTAGATAGCGGTTAAATGGACAACCGCTATCTAAAATACGTTTTAGATAGCAGTTAAATATACAACCGCTATCTAATCCTAAATAGATTTTTTTTTTTATAAGAAAGCAAAACTAACTAATATATATATATATATATATATATATATATATATATTCTAAAATATAATTTATTTTAATTACTATAATATAAAATATATATTCCAAAATATAACTTATTTTCATTTATATATATATTATAGAAATAAAATAAAATTATATTTTAGAATATATATATATATATATTAAATATAAATTATTTTTAAGTTGATAATTATTATTCTAATTTACGCTAAAATATATATATATATATAATTAATTTATAAGATCGGTTAACATTTATTCTAATTTATTCTAATTAATTATTCATATATGGGTCACTTATAAAAAAATATTACAATATCAAATAAAGTAAAAAATTAAAAAAGTTTAATCACACAAATAAAAATTATATTTTACTACTTTCAACCATAATTCTAAATATATTATTAATCTAATAAATACATACTTCTTTTTAAAACTATATTTAAAACTATAAATTTTATATAAAACATTATAAAATTATATAGATATATTTTTTTAATTATATAATTATAATTTTTATAATATATAATTGAAAAATAAAATTTTTTTATTTTAATTTAATTTATATTTTAGAAATTAATCAATTATAATCTATTATTTGAAAAACTAATCAATTCTAATCAATTATTTCAAAAACTAATCGATTATAATTAATTATTTGAAAAAAATTTCGAATATAATCGATCATTTTAAAATTAAATCGATCATAATAAAGTCTGGACATTGATATATGATAGCGGTTCCACGTTAACCGCTATCTAAACATGTTTTAGATAGCGGTTAAATGGACAACCGCTATCTAAAATACGCTTTTAGATAGCGGTTAAATCTACAACCGCTATCTAATCTTAAATAGATTTTTTTTTATTTTGATAAGAAAGCAAAACATATATATATATATATATATATATATATATATATATATATATATATATATATATTATAAAATATAATTTATTTTAATTTTACATAAAAATATTATTTTTTTATATGTATTTTCCTCGTAATTTATTATTAATTTCTAAAAATAATTTTGTAATTATTTATTTATATATATTTTAATAACTGTTTAAAAAAAATTAAATTTTTTAAATTTGTTTCCACTTACAAACACTTTTAAATTTGTTTTTTCTTTTAAATATATAATCAATGTTAAAATATGGATAATTAATTAAAAAATTATATTTATAATAATTTTAACCTTATTTTATACAAAAGGGTAAAATAGTAATTTTCTTAAATAATCAATTAAAATTATAACTTTTATATCTCATATCAATCAAATCACTCACAATTTTCTATAAACTTTTCTTTCACTTTCCATTCATCCAAACAACTTTAATTTCACCTCCATTTTTCTTCAAATTCCTCCATTTCCACACTCTCATTTCCACTTTCTCAAATCACTCCAACCAAACATAGCCTTAAGGTGCTTGAAAACTAGTTTTTAAAGAAAGTCAAAGAGATTCATTTATTCTACTGTTAATTTATAATTTGGGTCTATAAAAAAAGTTCAATGATATATGTTCAATCATACTTGTCTTTTTCAAAATATTTAAAGTATATTCCTTTGAGATTAAAATATCTTCTTTTCATTATAACTTTAATGACCAACAAATATTTGAGATGATATTCCACTCAAACTATTATCACCACCTCTTATTACTCTTAGCCCCATATTACTAGTTCAATATCCTAAAGTGAGTTATCTTCATAAGGTTTTTTTCAATCATCATTCAAATTTATGACTCTTGATCTTGAGATCTAACTTATCAATCATCATTTAATATTTAATATTATGACTCTTGATGGTGGAAATCTATCCTAGGTTCCTATTATCTATTTTTGTCTTCCATTATAATTTCTAAAAAATAGAATAATAACTTTCCTATTCTTCATTCGTTTTACCCATTTGTTTTTTTTAATCCTTTTTAAGTATAATTTTTTCATGTAAAAGTAAAGAAATAATGATAAATTTAAATTTTAAATTTCACATTAAATTTTTTAATAATATTTTAATTGAATTTTTATTCTTTTTCATTTAAGTAAATCTAAATTTATTATATAAGAAGAAAATAAAATTTGATTAAATAGGAATTGATATTATAATTATTAAAACAATAATTCAAAACTACAAATATATAATAAAACATTTTTTTTTAAATAAATTACTTTTTAAGGTTTTCTATGGTAAATTATTATTGAATGTAAATATCTCTTCATAATTAATAAAAATCATTACTTTTTTATTACTTTTGTACACTAATTTTAAATTAAAAGAAAACATAGTAACATCTATAATTTTAACTTTATTTTTGTTATGCAAATACATCTAAAATACTTAGGTAAAACAAACTTATATTGATTGGATAAGAAAAATTAGTAAAATTATATATCCGCGCCTCAAGTATAATTTCTGCTAGTTCTCGTACAATATCCAATGCATTATATTTTATTTATTTCATTGCAAATATACTTTTGATATATATATATATATATATATATATATATATATATATATATATATATATATATATATATATATATTATTTGAATGTTAATAAATGATTAACTTTAGGCATGTAGATGTTCGGTCTTGATAGTTTGGATCCAAACATGGTCTCTTAGGATAATAATTTGTTATATTGAATCCTTATCATTTTGATAAACTTTTGTAAATATCCATGATTTACTTATATAATTCAAACTCTTGAATTTTCATTATATTATTTAATTATAAATTTATATAGGACAAATGATATTTTAAATTATTTAAATAATTATATTCATTTTATTTAAATTAATTTAAAAATTAATAAATTATTATTCCTTGAATTAATTATTCTCCTAGTTTTTTTAGATTTGAGCATTAGTTTATATTTTCAATATTGTAACATGATCCATCCACTTTATTATAATCCAAAATATTTTCCTAAGCATCCATACTCGTTCTTATGTTTGTATTTAATGCATTAATATTTTGCATTTTGTTTTAACATTTTTTCTTTGTAAAAATGACATAACATGTTGGAAGTTATAGGAAATACAATTATGATTGCATTCATTAAGTTACTTCCATACTACTAACCAATACCTTAGTGCAAGTTAATTCTAAAAAATAATCCTTCAAGTCTTTCAATAATTTACACAAAGTTCCTTTCACGTTTAAATTTAAAATAAATACAATATCATCCTAGTAATCATTATATAAATAATCTCAAGTAAGGACATATTAGATATGATAGTTTTATATGTTTTATCCTTAATTTATATTATATTAAATGAATTTAATAATTTAGTGTGTGTACAAAAATTAGTTGTCTTTATATTTGTATTCTCATTAAGCATATATCAATAAATATCATCTATCACTCAAACTAACTTCATTCCATGTTGCATTTTAGTTAGATGACCTCTCTCACTTATGCAAAATATATATATATATATATATATATATATATATATATATATATATATATATATATATATATATATATATATATATATATATATATATATATACCTTGCATTATACACTAGTTTCATTTTTCTTCCTCAATGTCGATAGAATGTTTACATCCAACTTATCAGTCAAATTGTAAGTATGACTTGCAAAAACTAACTTCACATTTTATCATTCACCATTATTTTAGTTTTCCTTGCATTTTCTACTTACAATAATAGTTGTCAATAAAATTCGTCTTTATTTTTTATATTTATCATTTTTTTCACAATTTAACAATATATTTTTTCTTATTGCTCATTTGTTGGATCTTACCTTAATATTACAATCAGAAATTTATACATAAAGGAAATCTCTCCAACCTATTTTAATAAAGCATCTTATCTATTAAACACATACAACTATACATTACAAAATCATTGCATATGATATTTTTAAGTTAGACTTCGAGATTTTTATACTAAACATTGAAAATGGAATTGATATAGAATTGCAAAAGCAAAATTACACGAATTCAAGAATGAAAACAAAGATCAATTCATGAATTCTCAATTAAACAATCATCTTATCATAGTTCTCTAAAGATTTGAATCCAAATTTGAATATTCATGTTATATAATTTATACTTAATCATACTTAACAAGTAATAATCTATCATCACAAAACTAAATAATTATTTTCGAAAACAAGTAATAATCATAAGTAATACATATTTTTTGTATTACAATCATCTTGTTGGAAGTAATACTTATTGGAAGTAATACATACTTATTAAATATGATTAAGTATAAATTATATATATTACAATCATCTTATCATAATTGTTTTCGAAATACTTATGTATTACTTAATAAGTATAAACTATTTATGTATTACTTATCATAGTTCAAATAATCATACTTAACAAGTGAAATTTAAACTAAATCATCATCACAAAACTAACTTACAATATAAGATTTAAATCATTTATAAAACTAACTTACAATATAAGATTTAAATCATTTATAAAACTAACTTACAATATAAGATTTAAATCATTTATAAACTTTGATATAGTTAGATTTCAAATTAATGTAAAAGTATCAAATTTATTACATAAAATCTCACACAATAAAAAAATATGATGAAATTCATGTTGACTTGTTGGTTTGGTCAATGGTCACCATACTGGAAGTTGGTTGGAATGGTACCGGTTTGAAGGTGGCAGAAGTCACGTGGTATGTTGCTGGGTTGGGCCTGGGCCTCATAAACAACGTCTCACCGCGTAAAGTCCGCAGCACGTGATAGTTCCACCAAGGAATTTGTCATTTCATTCTTTCAATGGTCAACAAACTTACCCTGCATGTATATAACAAACATATTTATTATTATTTTTTAAATATGAGATATTAAAAAAATTCCTGAACTTTAAAAACTCCACACAATTCAATCAATGATTATAATTATGTTTAGTCAATTATGTTTCTAATTTTAGCATTGTTATAACATATATTCACTTATTATTATTATTTTATTATTATTATTATTATTATTATTATTATTATCGTCTAAAAATAAATTATTATGTATTTGGAATAATTCAAGACCAATTTTTTATTAAATAATTTAACATTTATTTATCTTAACGAATAAATTTTAGACACAAATATTTTTAAATAATTATTATAAAAATAATACATATTATGCAATTGAATAGTAGTATAAAAATTGTGTGTACTCTATAATTGAATTTTTAATATATTATATATTTAAACAAATTATATTCTTATTTTGGATAGATAAATAAAACATGATAAAATATTTTTTCTAATAAATAAATACAACCTAACATCAGGTACTTGAATTAACTAGTGTTAGGTTATTTCGACTTAAAAAGTGATTTTGAATTTAAAATGTTAATATATTTATTTGTGTTAAATACTTTAAAGGGAAGCTTTGTCATTCATAATAATCTGTTTACATAATTCAAAATAAGATTGTCTCAATAAAATAAAATAAAATATTATATATATATATATATATATATATATATATATATATATATATATATAACTCTATCATTTTTCTTCTTTTATTTATAAAATCACTTTATTAATCTCAATTTTTTTTTGTGATTTTTTTAATAATCTTGCTCACACTTTGCTTTCTAATTTTGACATTTATTCTTTGTTCATGTTATTTTGCTTTTTTTTTCTCCTCCAATTATTAAATATGAACAACCACGATCTCAACCTTATCAGCATCGGAGTGTCAACCTACAGTATATAAACTTTCTTTTTCCTTTAAAAAAAATAAATCATCAAGATAATTTCAAAAAGTATTTGTTAAAATAAATAAAGAATTATTAAATTAATAAATAAATTAATTCAATTATGTGAATTATGTGACTCATCTTATTAAAATTTTCAAATTAATAATAACCAATTTAGTGATATGAAAAAAGTGATCATAATCTATGAAAATTGATTATATAAATAAAATAAAAGATTTTGTCTCTGTTATAAGATTTTATCACGGTTAACCATTATAAATTGTGAGAGAATAAAAAAAACACAAAGAGATTAATCTAAAAAAATAGATTAAGATATTGAATAATTTATTTTTATTAAATTCTTTATGAATCAACGTAAATATCTTTATAATGATTTGTGTAAGAATTATAAATAAGATCGTATAAAATAGTTTTTTAAATTGAATCACAAATGTAGTTTTACATGAAACTTCATATAATGTTATACGTTAGGAAATTCTTCAAACAAATGTTTTTCAAATGAAAACAACGAAATATACCTCAGTTTTACGAAGAAAAAGAAATAAATGTCAAAATTTAATACAATTGCAATAAAACAAAATTAAAGTAAATTTTACAAACTTTTCATGAAAATATATATAGAAAATGAACACAAAGAATTGATAGAAAAACTAAGGAGGAGTTAAATAATAGAGTTTATACATTTACTAATTAAACGGGTATATATTTGATAAAAAAAATAAAAATAAAGGAAAAGGGCTGGACATAGAAATTAAGGGGAATGTAAATAGCAAAAGCATTGTTCTGACGTCAAGGTATGACGTTTGTGACGTCACTGATGATGGAACATTTTTGCTTAATTTCATAATTTATTTTTTAGTGAAATTGGAGACTATTATTAAAATAAAAAAGGGGTAGAATCTAATTTCCACCGTAAAGGATCCAAAAAAAGCAAAAGCGTGAGAAGCATTTTTGTTGAACAGCGCTTTTATTATTTTTTTAATCTCTTGTCGATATTTAAAGAGAGGCAGAGAAAAGAAATGAGAAGAAGAGCACATGTTTTCACAGTAATGAAGAAAAGCTAAACAACACAAGAAGCATGCAAGAATCGATAACGACAATTCAAAGAAAAGTATTTTTTAATTTAAAAAATAGAATAAAATATATTTTATCCAATAATTATAAGAAGTATTTATATTTAGATTAGAAAAACTATTGATTTTAAGTTAGATCTGTGTGTCTTTTATCTGTTTTGATTCAAATGTCATTCAATATTATACGTGAAAATCATTTATTTATATATTATTTAAAATTTATTAAAAAATTATAACTTTAATTACATTTATTTACTATTAATTGTATTTTTCATAAAATTAAACTTTTCTTTAATTAAAATTATATGTATTTAGACGTGACATAAATGTTTTTTAACAATAATATATATATATATATATATATATATATATATATATATATTATTAAGTAGTTTAAAATATTTTATTTTATTTTATTTTATTTTATATATTTAAATTTATTAGTCATTGTTTTAGGATTATGCTGCTAACTTAAGGTCTTGTATCCGCCACTAATAATAAATCTAAACCCTAAATAATAACTTGGAGTAAATCAATTTTGAGTTTCACTTCACCAATGAAACTAAAACATTTGAATGAATAAAATAAATACGTTGGTGGCTTTAGTAACAATAACTTTGTGATATCAATTTTTGCTTTTATAATGAACTATGGTTTCATATTTTGTTACCAAATATCAACAAAATCATTCATATCAAAAGTAAAAATGGATAACAAATTATACTCTGACTTTTAAAAAGAAAAATTTAAATTTTAAAAATTTAAGTATAACTTTAACCATTAAAAATTATATGTAAAAAAATATTTAAAAATTAAACCATTCAAGTTTTTCTTTATTTAGGCATTGTTCTTCAACATCAAAACTCTTGTCCAATAAGTATTTGCTTTCAACTGTAACAACATGTATAAAATATCAAATTTACTATCAAGATATCAAGTGTAACAAATTTAACTTTCACCCACTAGAAAAAAATGAGAATATTCTCTAAATAATATATATATATATATATATATATATATATATATATATATATATATATATATATATATTTTTTTTTTACAAGTTCAAAATTAAGGTATTATATTAACCTTATAGATACACTAATGTATACATATTATGTAGTCAAGAAATTTTACGTTGATGATGGATAATAGTTAAATTACCAAATTTTTCTCGAAAAAAAAAACAATTTCCTTTGATAACATTGTTTTATCACTTTTTTTTTTCAAAAACTAAAAAACAAAAATGGGTTTTAAAAACTGTTTTAATAAAAACAAATATTTTAGTTTTTAAAAAAAAAAAAACCAAAATGTGAAGAAAACAAATAAACTCTAAGATGATAGATTAATTTTTCAGAAGTTTTTAATTTTAAAAAGTCCATATTATACATGTTATTTTTATTCAAAATCAAGTTTTAGAATTTTTACTTTTTATAGGACATATGAGATTTGATTCCATGGACTTAACTAGAGCCTCTTTATAGTCTTTCCCACAGCAAGATGAAGAATTTGACTATGAAGAGTTTGATCATCACTAGCATTCACATCTACAAGCTTTCCATTTGTACCAACACCATCTTTTGTGCCTGCTCTATGTGTGGTTCATATTCTATCTTAGGTTTGTTTGTTGAAAGTTAATTTTGAATGTGATGGAAATTCAAATGGGATTTTTTCTCAAAAATAAAATAAAATCCCGAATTAAATTCATCTATTAGTCATTGTCAGCATGTCCCCATGAGGGAATAGCTGGCCCCAGTTGCTCGTTGCAATGAGCGACAATGATAGTGATAAAAGGACCCAAAGGGTGTAAAACACTAAAAATAAACAACAAATAAGAATGATCCACACAAGAGGAGTAAGAATAGGAAAATCAAAAGGTTTCGATGGATGTTTGACTAAAGAGAGACGAACAAGATAAAAACAAAAAAAAATCATTTGATTTTCGGCTTCAACGGGGCAGAGAGTCATCATAGTGATTTAATTTTTATTTTTTTTAGTTATAGGTATTTTTAGTCACTTATTTATATATATATATATATATATATATATATATATATATATATATATATATATATATATATATATATATATATGATGGAAATTAAATATGGATTTTCTATTCAAATGAATAGTTCTACGATGTTTTTTCTCTCAATTTTTTTTAGAGTGATTATAACTATTTTCCACCATATACTCATAATTTATAAGTTTCATTATTTAAAAATTGAGGTTAGAAATAATTTATAAACATAATTTTTAAAATTTATTAAAATATTTTTAAGGACAAAAATATTATAAGTGTGATGAATAACAAATGTCATCCTATCACATATAAGACCATGATTCACTTGTTTGAAGTTAAGGATGATTGGAAAATTTAAGTGTGAGTCTAAATATTACATTGTATAAAAAAAAAAAACTTGACTCATAATCTAATATTTTAATATTTTAGTTTGAAGATGAGGTTAATATGTGATTTAAGTTAAATTCATGTTTTATTAGTATTGTTTATTTTTAATAAATTCTTCTTGAAAGACTAAACAATAATAATTTATATATATATATATATATATATATATATATATATATATATATATATATAAATTGACAATATTTTGAATATGATAATAGACCATAATAATATTATTATATTATTTATAAGACTGAAATACTCTTATTTAATATCAACTATTTTTTATCTCACTCGTTTTAATATATATATATATATATATATATATAAATAATTTAATTACTTTCTGCGTTATTCTCCAAAACATTTAACTGATAATTACTTTGAATGTATATTTTTTTTCTTTTTCTTTCTTGTTTCAACCATTTCGTCCAAACAAAGAAACAGCAGGAAAAGGTGATCTATGTCCTGGATTTGGTTGGCATTCGACGAAGACAATGCAATAAAGTGTTGTTGTCTCGTAGTCTGCCATGTTTATGAGGTAAAGCATTTTTTTCCCTTCTTTTAAAAATGTAATCTCACTCAATTTCAGTTTCCATGTGTTTCCCATTCTTTCCAAGACTGAGATCCTCCTACACTCTTTGTTCATTATATATATATATATATATATATATATATATATATATAAATCAAGTGCATGCAAATGAATTTGATAAACGAAACTGAGTGCCTGTAGTCAAGTGTCAAAAGCAAAGTAATAATAAGTGATTCATTGATTGAATTCAATCTATAAGTTGACATAGAGTTGTTGTGATTAAAGATATCACTTTATTCCTACTATAAACATAAAAGAATATGGTTTGAATAGTATTCAAATACTTTTATTACAGAATATATAATAAAAATAAAAGTAAAATAAAATATCAAATATTTCACTACTCGTTGGTTCAATACTTATATTTTATTTGATAAAAAAAATAAAAATGAAAAAATGAGAGATATTTCCTTATATACCCAATTATAAAATGTATTTATCTAATATTTTGATATTCAGATTTATTCCGTCTACTTGATTTAACTAAGAGTTGATCCGTCTAATCGATTCAACTAAGAATTAATTTGTTATGTGCATCTTTTTCTTTCAACTCGTGAAAACACAGTTAACGTCAATAATAGTTTATGTTTACTGTCATTAGAGCAATCAACAAAGATACCAAAATAATCTTGACACATAAATTTAAACTTTATATATTTAAATAAAATGGTAGATCAATATAAATTATTGTTTTTATCTTGTCTTATATGAAACTTTAATTCCTTATCATTTTACTTTTAAAATATACCTTCATGAAGGAAATTAAAATTTTGAGGTATCTAAAAACAATTCAAACAAAGGCTTGTTAAGATTATGCAGCCAAACGCAGCAGAAGCATGATTGTAACCGGAAAAGAGATTGCAGAAATGTAGGAAATTAACCTTTATATGAGAATGATGCACCAACAATTAGCAAGAGATATGCCAGAGTTGTACAAAATGATGACAGTGAAAGAGGAGATAGTACCCTGAGCACTCACCCAATCAACTCTGTAACATTATTTATGTAAAAGTTGTATCTAGATGTTGTGTTAAGAGTGTTCAAATTGAAACTCCTTCTTCTTAAATTCAAGCTTAAATTGTTGCAGGTAGCATCAATTATCCTGTGGCGGAGGCCGGGTGGGCCAAGTCACAATCGAATCGTGGCGCTTGGGCTATTACTCTTAAGTAAAAAGAGTTGTGCTCTAACTAATAACTATAGCTTTTGGCCTAGTGGTAAGCGCTCGATCCTAACAATTGGTATCAGAGCCAAGGTCACGAGTTTGATTCCTGGTCGGCAATTGTTAAGGGGGAGATTGTTGCGGGTTGCACAATTGTCTCGTGGCGCAGGCTAGGTGGGTCAAGTCACAATCGGTGGCGCAGTCTAGATGGACCAAGTCACAATCCAAGTGGGATTCCTCGTAGGACAATTGCTGAGGGGGAGATTGTTGCAGGTAGCATCAATTATCTTGTGGCGGAGGCCGCCGGGTGGGCCGAGTCACAATCGAATCGTGACGCTTGGGCCGTTACTCTTAAGTAAAAAGAGTTGCGTTCTGACTAATAGCTATAACTTTTGGCCTAATAATAAGCGCTCGATCCTAACATAAATGATTGATTAAATGATTCACATAGTTGTATTTGTCTATCCCTTCTTATATCTTTTTCTACTTGGATATTCAGAAGTTATTTTATTATTCATTTTTCTTTTTATTTTATATTTTTTTACAGATGTAATTTTTTTTATAGATTCTTATAGTAATGAAAAGAAAAACTGTATTGGTTCAATAATTGCTTTTTATGTTTTATATCAAAACCAAACCAGATCTCCAAGTTTTCAAAATTGTTCATTATCATGTACTTTTTAAGCCACAGAACTATAAAAAGAGCATCTTGGGAAAGCACAATCTCAATATTTGAAATTAATTAGATTATATCTTCAAATAAAAATTACTATGTTATTTTCTAGTGATAGACAAACTAAAGTTATAGATTAAAAATAAATTGATTAGAGCTAAACTTATATAGCCACACGCTCACATTCTTTATATATATGTTAAATTTTTGTGCTTTTATTTTTTTTAACGCAAATAATAAATTCAACTGTTGTTGTTTTATTTAAAAATGAAAATATTTCGATTTCATATTTATTATAATAATATTGTTAGAGTTAATTCTTAAAAGTATTATTCATTTTGGAGTTCTATCCATAATAGTTTTATTCTTAAAAAATGATTCAATGAAGTTAGACTGACGTCAATGTTAATGAGTTTATTTCAACCTCATGTCTACTTTCATGGTGACATCGTTAAGGATTAATTCCTACTTTTAAAATATTATCTCGCTTTATATGTATTAAAAATATTCGTAAATAAAGTTTACTTATATTTATAATGAGATATATTGACTTTTTGAGTGAACAATTTATAATTTTAATTATAAGATTGAATTATATAGATAATCTTCTATGATTAAAACAATTAATATTTAACATAATATATTTTTATAATAATACTTATCCAATATATTCACATAAATTGAATATTTATTTGTACGTTACTAATCTTTAATAATATACTAATCATAAAAATAAAGCATTACGATTGAGTATCACTACAAGAAAAAACACATTTAGCCATCGAAATTAGCGACCAAATTTTTTCGGTCGCAATTAGCGACCGATTTAGCGACCGATTTAATTTTGGTCGCAATTAGAGACCGATTTAGCGACCACTTTAATTCCATCGCAATTAGCGACCGATTTAGCGACCAAAATATGATTTGATTTTCACTTTAATTCGGTTGCAATTAGCGACCGATTTAGCGACCAAAATATGATTTGATTTTCACTTTTTATTTAGCGCCCGAAATAGCGACCAATATTTTGCGTCGCAAAATTTCGGTGGCTATTTCATACATAAATAAAAAAATCATTTAGCGACTGATTTAGCGACCGAATTACAAATTGAAATAGTGACCGAATTAAAATCGATCGCTAATGAGAAAATAATCAATGATTTTATCTGATTTTTGCAATATCGCTCAAGCGAAAATAACATCGCTCGAGCGACGCCACCTGCACAAAATTGGCATTCTCAGGTTATATTTCGCTTGAGCGACACTATTCTCGCTCGAGCGACATCTGATTCAAACATGAGGTCACCCATGTTACATTATCCGGCTAACTTTGATCGACGTTTACGCAAGTCAACATTCGCTCAAGCGAAAGTAACATCGCTCGAGCGACGCCACCAGCACAAAATTGACATTCTCGAGTTGTATTTCGCTTGAGCGACACTGGTCTCGCTCGAGCGATATCTGATGCAAAAATGTGTCAATAAATAAATAAAATATTTGTCACTTTTAAGAGCGGTTAATATTTACACCGCTCTTAAAAGTGAACATATAATAGCGGTTCCAAGTGAACCGCTATCATATACAACCACATTTTTTGATTCTGATCGATTAGATTTTCAAATGATCGATCATATTTGATAATTTTTTCAAATAATTAATTATAATCGATTAGTTTTCTAAATTATTGATTAGAATTGATTAGTTTTTCAAATAATAGATTATAATTGATTAATTTCTGAAATATATATTAAAAAATTATAATTAAAAATATAAATTATTTAAGAATATTAACTATTGTAAAGATAAAGTAGAACATGGGAGAAGATGAGGATGATAATATAATGATAGAACTTACAAAAATGTAGAATTGAGAAGTTTAAAACAAAAAAAATTAAGAAAATAGAGATTTAATTACACTGTTAATAAATTTAAGATAATACTAGTTTTGATTTTTATTTTTAAATATTTATTTCAATTTTTAAAACAGAAAAACTATAATTTTAGTTTCTAAATACTCAATTTAAAGAAATAAATTTATTATTATTATTTAATCTTTTAATTTTAGTATTAAAAATTTAAATTATATTTTATTAAATTAAAATAATTACAATATATTTTTCTACTTTGAGAATGAACAATATAATTAAACTCAAAATTGACAATATTATAATACATTTTTGAACTTTTTTGGATTAATTTTTTTTCCTAATTTTTGATAAAGTTAATTTTAATATTTAAAAGTATTTAACATTTTGAATTCTGAAAGGTTTTCTCTAATAGCAAATTTAAAAACATAATATTCAAAAAAATAGTTAATGTAAGTTTTCATTATGATCGATTATATTTTGAAATGATTGATCATAATTGAAACGATATAATAGCGGTTCCACATTAACTCGCTATCTAAAATATATTTTAGATAGCGGTTAAGGTTTAACCGCTATTAGAAGTGCGCTTTTAAGAGCGGTTCCAACTATCATATACAACCACATTTTTTGATTCTGATCGATTAGATTTTCAAATGATCGATCATATTTGATAATTTTTTCAAATAATTAATTATAATCGATTAGTTTTCTAAATTATTGATTAGAATTGATTAGTTTTTCAAATAATAGATTATAATTGATTAATTTCTAAATATATATTAAAAAATTATAATTAAAAATATAAATTATTTAAGAATATTAACTATTGTAAAGATAAAGTAGAACATGGGAGAAGATGAGGATGATAATATAATGATAGAACTTACAAAAATGTAGAATTGAGAAGTTTAAAACAAAAAAATTAAGAAAATAGAGATTTAATTACACTTGTTAATAAATTTAAGATAATACTAGTTTTGATTTTTATTTTTAAATATTTATTTCAATTTTTTAAAACAGAAAAACTATAATTTTAGTTTCTAAATACTCAATTTAAAGAAATAAATTTATTATTATTATTTAATCTTTTAATTTTAGTATTAAAAATTTAAATTATATTTTATTAAATTAAAATAATTACAATATATTTTTCTACTTTGAGAATGAACAATATAATTAAACTCAAAATTGACAATATTATAATACATTTTTGAACTTTTTTGGATTAATTTTTTTTCCTAATTTTTGATAAAGTTAATTTTAATATTTAAAAGTATTTAACATTTTGAATTCTGAAAGGTTTTCTCTAATAGCAAATTTAAAAACATAATATTCAAAAAAATAGTTAATGTAAGTTTTCATTATGATCGATTATATTTTGAAATGATTGATCATAATTGAAACGATATAATAGCGGTTCCACATTAACTGCTATCTAAAATATATTTTAGATAGCGGTTAAGGTTTAACCGCTTATTAGAAGTCGCTTTTAAGAGCGGTTCCAACTATCATATACAACCACATTTTTTTATTCTGATCGATTAGATTTTCAAATGATCGATCATATTTGATAATTTTTTCAAATAATTAATTATAATCGATTAGTTTTCTAAATTATTGATTAGAATTGATTAGTTTTTCAAATAATAGATTATAATTGATTAATTTCTGAAATATATATTAAAAAATTATAATTAAAATTATAAATTATTTAAGAATATTAACTATTGTAAAGATAAAGTAGAACATGAGAGGAGATGAGGATGATAATATAATGATAGAACTTACAAAAATGTAGAATTGAGAAGTTTAAAACAAAAAAAATTAAGAAAATAGAGATTTAATTACACTCGTTAATAAATTTAAGATAATACTAGTTTTGATTTTTATATTTAAATATTTATTTCAATTTTTTAAAACAGAGAAACTATAATTTTAGTTTTTAAATACTCAATTTAAAGAAATAAATTTATTATTATTTAATCTTTTAATTTTAGTATTAAAAATTTAAATTATATTTTATTAAATTAAAATAATTACAATATATTTTTCTACTTTGAGAATGAACAATATAATTAAACTCAAAATTGACAATATTATAATACATTTTTGAACTCTTTTGGATTAATTTTTTTTCCTAATTTTTGATAAAGTTAATTTTAATATTTAAAAGTATTTAACATTTTGAATTCTGAAAGGTTTTCTCTAATAGCAAATTTAAAAACATAATATTCAAAAAAATAGTTAATGTAAGTTTTCATT